GGGCGGTGCAACAGATGTAACTTCAAGTGCAAGTCATAAATTATTTGTTTTTGAGGCCATGGTAACTTCAAACCATTGTTAAGTGAACCATTGTAAATCAAGAACCACTTGTATGGATTTCAGAAGCACATATGGGTGTTTGGTCATACAGATTTGAAAATAAGAGTAAGAGATATACTTCTGCATCCAACAGATCCATGGTAAAAAAATGTTTTTAAAGATTCTAATTTATAACTATTTAGCCTTTTTCCAGAGATTGAATTCCTTGTATAGGGGCGTGGTGGCTCAGTGGCTAAGATGCTGAGCTTGTCAATCAGAAAGGTCAGCAGTTCGAATCCCTAGAACCGCATAATGGAGTGAGCTCCCGTTATTTCTCCCAGCTTCTGCCAACCCAGCAGTTCGAAAGCATGTAAAAATACAAGTAGAAAAATAGGAACTACCTTGGTGGGAAGGTAATAGAGTTCCGGGTGCCTTCGGCATTGAATCATGCCAGCCACATCACCATGGAGATGTCTTCGGACAGTGCTGGCTCTTCGGCTTTAAAACGGAGATGAGCAGAGACATATACCTTTACCTTAATTCCTAGTACTTCTTCAACCTCTTCCAAGGTTGGACATATTTCTTGCTTAAACAGAAGCCAGAATGGAACTGGAGGGTTATGTTGTCGCTCTTCTTCCTCCTGACTGATTGCTCAGTTCCCTGGCTTTGCCACTCTGTGCCCTAGATTGGCAGATTTAATTTTGAATGATTAATTATTTGTATCTGAACTTCTGGAGTATGATCTCCCCATTCATTACACACATCGTTAAAAAGTTCCCTTGTTTGTCAAAGTTTGACATTCTAAAAAATGAGTCTGCTTATCAGAAATGCTTGATTTTGAATTAAATATTTCAACCAATGATTGGTTTTATGTAATGTTTGCAGTCTACGGTGACTTGTACATTAGCCGTTATGAGAAATAATTGAGTTGACCAACTGAATTTTAGAAGTAAATAAGTGTACACGTTGCATTTAATTCTGGGTGTGGGTGTGTACTTGCAGTATTTGGACCCATATGAACAGAAATGAGACTGTACAGTAAACCCAATAGTCTGGTAAGATTTACTTAGCCTTGCAGCTGTTTGGAGAGTCTAGCACAGATCCTCATGCTTTCGAACAAGAGCTCTGCACTGATCTCTGTCACTATCTCCTTGGTCTGAAATTAATTTCCACATACAAAGAATTGCCAAGGCTTTAGATCAAGTTTGATTTTTGCATCAAAGTCTTCTTTTCTGCTAGGAGTTACACAGTTGTTCAAGATCAAGTTACATAGATAGAGGTACATATTCTCTCAGACTCCAATCTTAAACACAGAAGTTAGGGTCTTTCAGTCTATCAAGGCCGAAGCATAGCCTCCTCTGAACTCTCAAATTATGAAATAATTTAATTTTGGCAGAAGAATTTCAGACCAGCTCAAGACGGAGAACAAACCAGTCTATCCCTGACCCTCTTCAACTTCCAGTATTTCTAGCCAACATGTCCCAGAGATGCTCTTCAAAAGGCAACTGGAATTTCTTGGTTTTTTCTTTGAAAACGTTTCGCTTATTATCCTTTTTCAGTTCTAAGAACTGAAGAAGTTCCTTGGATGAGAGATAAAATGTTTTTAAGGCAGAAATCAAGAAAGCCCAGTTGCCTTTTGAAAAGCACCTTTGGGATTGAAAATCTCCATGACATCTAAGCCAACATGGTTTATACTGGTCAGAATGCTGGAGTGATACTTGTGTTATGCAAGTAGATATATACTAGTGGGCTCCAGTTTGGGATAAATTGGAATACGTCCGGTGGTGGGATTCAAATCATTTAACAACCGGTTCTCTGCCCTGATGATTTCTTCCAACAACTAGTTTGCCAAACTGCTCAGAAAGTTAACAACCGGTTCTCTCGGAGTGGTGTGGCTGAATCCCACCACTGAATATGTCTTACTTTTACAACTGAGATGCAATCAGATATTCTTTATGAGGTAAATCAATAGGCTATTTATGATGAATAATTCAAAAAATGAAGACCTTTATCTTTTAGGAGAGGAGGACGAAGAAGAACAACCGGAGATGCCCGTTGGACCTCGTCCTCGCCCTATGTCTGAACTGCATCTTAAGGAGAAAGCAGTGCCAATGCCAGAAGCCACTGCTTTTTTCGTTTTCAGTCCCAGCAACAAGTATGTTGTTTCTTGTATGAACTTGTGCCACCATGAAAACAGTCCCAATAACATGCTTTTAAGCAAGTGTGGGTAGTTGTATGTTTTGTAGTCTGTCTCGTACAATGCAAGCTTACTCAGTGGATAATTCTACGATATAGGAAAATGTATATACTATTGTCACTGATCTCCAAGAATGTTATAAGAGACAAATAAATTCTAGATGGAAAAAGGAAAGGAAAAATAATCTCTATTTCAAGATAGAATTGCTCTGTGGAAAAGAAAGGTTCTTGGCATATATCAGGGATGGGTGAATAAGAGCTCTGCTCTTAATCTAGCCCAAGGGCCAGCTTGCTGCCATGAAGACATAACTGGCCTTGATGACATAAATGGTTGGGACTTTAAGAAAGAGCAGCCTTGTCTCCAAGCCATAAAAATCTTCCTTGCATCTTCAGCAGAATGGTTTGATATAGATCTGAGAAGAATAGAAATAAGAGATGGAGGGAATTAGAAGCAAAATGTAAATGCTTTTCCAGTAATCATTCTACATTCATTCACAACAAAATCTTAAGGCTATTAACATAGTCGACTATCTCTACATATGGAATTATAAAACTCCTCACCCTATTGAAAACAGTACAGTATTCTCCCCTCCCCCAACCGCATTACAGTTTTATCTTCTTTTTAAAAAATAACTATTGATTTATTTGAATCATTCTGCTTGGATCTTCAGGGACGTAGTGGCTCAGTGGCTAAGACGCTGAGTTTGTCAATCAGAAAAGTCAGCAGTTCGGCGGTTTGAATCCCTAGCGCCGCGTAACAGAGTGAGCTCCTGTTACTTGTCCCAGTTTCTGCCAACCCAGCAGTTCAAAAGCATGTAAAAATGCAAGTAGNGATTTTTATCTGCAATTAAAATTTGTACATACTAATCTCCCGCTTTAGATTTTAAAGTAGGCTAAATAACCTCACACCGAAGACGTTTGTAAAATTCACAGTACAATAAAATGTGAACCACCATTTTGGGATCCCTGCCAAAAGAATCTTTGAGAAGTAGGATTTTTAAAAAATCTACCATATACCATATTTGATGGCTTTACACATTGCACATTTGATGGCTATAAACATTTAATCTGGCTTTCGAAAAGCCTATTTGGTGTTTACTAAAATATATGTTTTAAAAAACACGAAAGATTGCTTCAGGAAATCCCCAATGTATCCTTTGTAGATATGTAGTTTAAACAGGTGATTCAAAAGATTAGTCAGATTAGCATTGATCTTGATTATTTATTCTCCAGCCATCTATCATCAGCAATTCATTGTATAAACAAAGATCAAGGGTAATTAATTACAGGAATTAATGGCCAAAGCTAAATTATCTTGTTCACCTACAGTATTTGGGATTAATTCTAGATATGTTTTTCAACTCCCTAAATATTTGAATAGCTTATATTTCAAGAAATGTAGACAAACACATAATGTGTTGGTAAGGCAAGGCACTGACTGAACTGTCGGTCCTTCAACCTCCCACTGAGGTAATTGCAAGAAACAGATTTGGTTCAGGTTTGCAGCAATGGAAATGATCACAGTTTGCTTTTGAAGATTTGAACGGTGATGACAGGGCCATATTTGTACAATGTGTTTAAACAGGCTGGAGGGGTATCCTGTGGATGGTTAAATCCTGTCATCACTGGATTTCACAGGTTAGAAAGGATTAGTCCGAACTCCAAATAGCCCTGTGACATTGGTCAGCCATATTACCTGAAAAGGGACAGTAGGTTGAATGGAGAATTAATCCTCTCGTCTGTCCTGGAGCAGCTGTGAAGAAAAATGATTTCATCGGGTACTCCGTATTTTATTTTTTACTTCTCCAGAGCTCGACTGAAGAATGAATTAAGAGCAGGAAAGATTGGGTGCAGGAGGACTTTCCATCTGAATGCAATATTGCTGATTCCAATGAGGCCACTTCCTTTTTAATACCAATATATATTTTTCAAAGCTACAGAAAGGAACAACTTCTCAGTCCCTTTTTTTTACTGCATCCTTTCTGTTTATCCCCTGCTTTAACTGCTTATCTGGAAGGGAAAGGACAATTTTAAGCTTCAAAGTTATTGTAGGGAAACATCTACTCATAGAATATTTGTAGCTCAGGGTTGAACTGTTGCTGTTTCCTGAGCTTGGTGGCTTTCTCACACACATTTCTTTATTCAGCTAGGTAAATATCAGTAGTAGCAGCAGCAGTAGTAGTACTAGTACTAGTGCTAGAAAGGAGTCAGCTTTGGTCTTATTTTTATATAACTAGTGGTTTGCCCTTACAGTGTTGGTGTGGGTGTCCTTGGTGGTTGAGTGTCCTTGAGTTTGTTTGCCATTGCCATTGTTTACTGTTAGCTTGTTAGTACTTCCTTGACTTGGGTATTGTATACAGCTTGTTTTTTGGTCTTGTGTTAATCTTGCCATTACTCTCTGCTCATATGGGTGCTGATTGCTGGTGAGAAGATGTTTTGGTATTTTTGCTTCCTTTGGGCATTTTGATTGTATCAAACTAGGACTCTATATCTACTCATCTACAACTCAGTTGCAAAGGTTCCTCTAGGTCTCTTCTTCAGCTATCTTGTTGAGTAACTCTAACTGAAAAGAGAATTAAAACTGCTATCTCCAGTTAAAGACATCTATGGAGGAAGTGGGCTCTACAAAGGCCTGACTTAACATTTTTGTGTTCAACGGAAAATAGGTAGCAAGGTACTATTGACTAAAGCGATTGTACCTTTTTTCTTCCCACTTCCCAATGCAATTATTGGCATTCTGGCAGCCTTTCCCCACTGAAACTGTCAGAGAATTCATGACTGGCAGAGACATGGTAACAAGGTCAGCCAATGAATAGGGCTCAGTAACAAGGTCAGCCAATGGGAGCTGAGGCAGTAAGGAGCCTGGGTATGGCTTAGCTGTGCTAAGCTCTGAAACTGAAACTAGTCTGTCTGCTGAACTCTGAAACTGCTTACAATCTCTACTCTCTACCATATTGGAAGAACTACTTTTGGTATTTATATATTGCTTCATGTGTTATTATGTATATAAAGAGAAAGGGGGGGAATGAATTAGATTCAGAAAAGTATTAGTTTATTTCAAATGGTAAACTGTATCAAAGTCTTAGGACAGAGTTTCTTGCTCTATTGATTCACCACTTCGGATAACTTGGTTTTGTAATGTAAAATTAAATTTCAGTAAAGCTTCAGAGCCTTTGACCTCTGACTTATCTTTGATGAAGATTGGGCTGGTACATAGATACAGGGGAAAGTGAGTTCTCATAGTAGAACCACAGCTGGAAACTTTTAATCTAAATCTTACTATTCAGCTCTTTTAATTTGTAACTGAACTTTTTATTTGAATAGTAGCTTTTTTTTCTTGTATCAGCAAGTGTATTGCTAAATGCCCAATATTCCCCGAGATAACTGGAATTGAAATTTATCAGAGGTCTGGAGATTCAATGGATGTTTAAGATTTCCACATAGACTTATCATATTTTGGACTCCATCTCTGTATGAGTACTTCTTTGATGCTGAGAAAAATCTTCTGTCTGTTTTGATGCTGATATTTGTCATTGCCTGGCTGTTTTCAAGCTCATCTCTGCCTTTTAATCAGACCCTAGTTACATATGAATCGCTAGGTCTGATATAAAGGTTTAAAGTTCTCCTGCATCTGGCATCCCCATTGAGAATGTAATACAAATGTTTTAGACAAATTCCCCACAGTCACAGAGAGAAACAGGGGGGGGGGGAGGAGTGTTGTGTGTAAAGTTTGCACTTTCTACTGTGGCTGCTGAATTACTGCTTTACCTGTGTTATCATCTTGCATCTTGCAACTTAACAAGATATATTTCTTTTCTTCAGAGATAGACACGAAGTCCATAATGTTAGACTTGTCAGAGTTTCTTGCATAAATTCAAATCCAGAAGCACACACAGATAACTGATGCAGCTGGATTCATCAACTTCNCAGGCCTTCCGCACAGCCTTGAAGAACTGGCTAGCCCGTCAGGCCTGGGGATGAAGATAGTTGCCCCTCCCGAATGATGAATGCATGTTGGTTATTGTTTTTATTATATGTGTCTTTGTTATTGTCTGTATTTCCCCTTCCCCGATTTTATGTGAGCCGCCCTGAGTCCCCTCAGGGAAAAGGGCGGCCTACAAATCTCAATAAAATCACAATAAAATCACAAAAATCACAAAATCACAATGTTTTTTACCTCAAAATATCACCCTATAGATTGTCAAGCAAATGTTTTTAAATCCAGATTTCGAAATGGCAAGGATTGAACTGGGGCCATCCTGTATGATAAACATATCGTCCTGCATTCAGATTTGATTTAATATAGATGTGCTTGAACAGATGTTACCTAAATCATGTTTCTCAATCTTACAAATGTTAAGATATGTGGACTTCAGTTCTTTGGCTGGAAATTCTGGGAGTTGAAGTCTACACATCTTAATTTGGGAAATACTGATCTAAACCATTCCTTGCAACCTTGCATCCCCAAAACATGTTTTGTTTCCTTTTTGAAAGACATTTAAAACATTCTAGAGCCACAGCGGATGGCAACAGGTTTCACTGATTTGAAAATCTATGTAAGGTCAGAATTCATACTTGGATGGGAGATAATCAAGATTAATAATAGTCAAAAATATACACCAGAAGAAGACAAGAGCAAGCCGCTACAATAGTCTAGCTCTCTTCAAGAAAGTTGTTACTTTTATTATATTTTGGGTATGAAGAGTTGTAAATGGGCAGTCTATACATTTCTGCTATAGCTGACAGTTTCAGAAGTATTTATACCAAAATCTTTGTTCCAGAATTTGATCTGTGTTGAAAACGAAAGCAGAAATATATGTGGAAATATTTTCAAAAGTATCATTTAGATAACAAGAAATCATCAATATTCCCCACCCCCTCGCTGGTCTTTGTAACATTCGTTTTTCAGAAACACCCAGTGCTTAATTTAATACACCATGCAAAAAAGGGCAAATTTCACCCAGTCTGTTTACAGCAAGGAAAATGCAGGGAAATTACCTACTGATGATTCTTTTTGTAAAATGATATTCACTGTAACCAGAAGTCTGTGTCAAGTGTTACTTGAATGTATTGTAAAAAGAAAAACTATCAAAGTATTTTGAATCACATGACATAAAATATACTTTAATGGGCTAATAATTCTCAATATTGATACAGCAGAAATTACAGGTGTAATCATACATAAAATAACCTGATAATTGTGAGCATTTAAGGCTGAAATTCTATTTCCATTTACCTCAGAATAAACATAACTGAACTCAGTGGGACTGAATTTACAGAAGAAAGATGCATAAAAACAGGGGGCAAGATTTCTCCCACTTTTAAGCATAATTTGCCATTTTACTTCTATGGAAAGATACTCCCGTGTCTCTTCAGGCTGGCTGGGAATTGCTGGGCTTAAGTCCACACATCTTAGAGTGTCAGAGGTTGAGAACTACTGCTCTAAAGAATCATGACATTTAAGAGTTGCACATGATATTTAGCTATCTTGTCAGTTAAAAGCTTCCAATATTTTTATGCTATGTAAAAGTGCCCAGAAATATTAGTAAGGCAGCTGATCTCTACACTAAAATTAATGGGAAGCTTGAACATCAATAGTCATTCAGAGCTCAGAACACCTGGGCTCAATATTAGCCTAGGAAGACTGTCAAAATGCAGAATTTGGCTCTAGTCCAAATTCTTTTAACTTCCCAATATACAGTATAATGCTTTGCTCATTCCTATTTCTACCTACTGCCAGAATATTGAATTATACTGTCTCTGCAAAGTGGTATCAGCAGGTTAAAATGTACATGGTGGTTCATATACATATGTGTGCAAGTTAATTGATTCATTAATATTGATATGCGGGGAAATGAGCCCATGAGGGGAAAGATTAGGAGTATTCAATTATGCAGGCCTTTCCTGCTGCATGCATGAAGTAGATTCCATAGCAGATTTTGGATAGGATTTCTTTAATATTCTTATCATTCTGTACTTTAATGTGATAGTTTCCAAATTATTCAACAGTGTGGCCAGTTCTTCAAACAATCTCTTTTCATCAAATGGGGATTTGTTTTGATTTTAATATGATTTAAAACCAAATAAACATCTGCTCGTCAATCAGCAAGTGAGATTTGGGTTATGCGGATGTTTTATAATAATTTCTATTCAACACATACTTTTTCAATGCACTAGACACATCCTTAAAATTGTTTTCAATTCAAGATAGCTCCCCTAAGCACCAGTATCATCTCATTCCAGGAAGAGAAGCAGCTGCAAATCTTGTATAATCATATATTATTTCAGGGAGGGGGGGGATTGCTGTTGTTTTGGAAGTATTTCTAAATTCATAGGCACTGCATAAGGGTAATTCAAATTGCAGTGTCTTGACCTGTATTGTTTAATTTTTGTAATGTTATAAAATTATATTGTACGGCTATTTAATTGGTTATTTACTGTACATTTTCACAAAAATAGAGCCACTTCCCATCTTTTTAAAATAAAAGTAATTAAGAACTATTGTTGGGAACTCAACAAAATAGCTCCAAAACTGCATTGTGCTATGCTAAACTGAGCATTAATCCGGTCATGTTTAATTATGCTGGCATAGAATTTTGCCCATAAAGCTTAAAAGCGAGGAAGAAAGCTCAATTGGGTGAAAACCCCTTTCTTCCGGCATTGTTTTAACAACTTCAGATATCTTTAAATATGTTCCATCCAATCAACTTTTTCTTTGTGCAATGATGAGTTGCTGTTCTTCCCTCAGAGGCACTAAACCTGTGAAGTTTAATAAAGTTAAAAGGAACAAAATGTTGTATATTTGACATTATAGTGAACAACATTCCAGGAACAAATCTTAACTCAGGTCTACTTTGGCATTTTGTTTACATACAATCAAATCTATCCCTACTTGAGGATCAGATAGAGCTATATTGCACTTTGCAGCCTAATCTTAATTATGGTGACCCCAGAGTAAGTCTCCCTGATTTGAATGATAGATATACTTAGAACCACTTAAAAAAAAAACTCAGTTTAGGTGTGGCTTTATAACAACATTCAGTAAGTCTCAGGGAGCTTGGCTTTCAAAATGTGACTTTGTTTCCCTTGATAATAAAACAGAGTTACATACATATCATAGTTTTGGGAGAGAGAAGGAGGGAGGAAGCATACATTTTCCACCAGAGATCAAGTATATTTAAATTTTCTGGCCAAGAGTTTAATTTACCAAATACTGTTTTACAGAAATAGTACTTTGCTTTCTCATGAAAGCACAGGTGAAAAAATAGCAAACAAAGACAACTGTTATTTAAATATCCTGCTTATAGCCTGGTAGTTGTCTTCGTTGAAAAGTTGCAATCACTCACCAATACAGCTCCTTAACGTAGCTATTCATTTTGATTTTATATTTTGATTTAGTTTTATAGTGTTCACTCACATACCTTCCTTCTCCCTGCACCCCTTCCCTTTTGTTTTACAGGTTCTCTTTTGTTTTGATATATTTTTTACTGTCATTTTCACCATTGAAATTGCCCTGAAGGTAAAGTCCCATCTCCTCTTCCATTAGCTTCTCACTTGTAAGCCCACTAATTTTCTGCTGCTCTCTGTTGCTAACCCACACACCTGTTTGTGTTTTGACCATGCTCAGTGATCACTAACCCAACTGTGCTTATTTTTCAGATCCTAGGCAATGCAGATTATGTCTTCACTAGTATCTTTACATTAGAAATTATTCTTAAGGTAACCACTCTGAGCCTTCTGTGCTCCCTCTTGCTTTCTGCTTTGTCATTTTGTACTGCTTTAGATCCGAAGTGTTTTCTCTGTAGGTCGGTGTCCTTTGTCGCTCAGTTGTGCTTGTGCATGTTTTAGGAACTAATCCATTGTAACTACTATAGTCTCAGTTGTTAGTACACCTGTTAGTCTTTGGTGTATAGCCATGATGGTTAACCTATGGCACGTGAGCCAGAGGTGGCACGTAGAGCTCTCTTTCTGGGCATGCACCGTTGCCACCTGCTTTTCCAGGTTCCGGTGTGTGCATGCACACCAACCAGCTAGTCTTTGTGTGTAGGAGCGCCATAAACCGGAAGATCAGCTGGCCAGTGTCTGCATGCGCACTGGGCAGCTGATTTTCCCGTTTCCGGCACACATGTGTGCACAAAGACCAGCTGTTCATCACGCACATGAGCTCTGGGCAGCTGCTCTTCTGGTTTCCAACGCTTCTGCGCATCTGAAGACCAGCTGGCTGGGGCACACACATGCTCCGGAACCCAAAAGAGCAACTGCTCTTCTGGTTTCCAACACGTTCACACACAACACGCATTCTGGTTTTGGCACTCGGTGCCGAAAAGATTCTCCAACACTGGTATATAGCAACCAAATTACCCAGGAAGCTCAGGGAAGAATAAATGTCCTGGAACACCACATGTTTTCATTTCAGGAAGCAATAACCATGTACCATACAAAAAGGGACCCTTTGTGATAAGCTCTCCTAATATCCTTATATCGCTCCTAACCTAAAACAAAACAAGACTTAAAAAAAAAACACACATTATAACCTGTCATTATAAACTCAGGCAACATGGGGTCTGACATGAGTCAGACTATTTAGAATACAATTTCTATTTTATATGTCTTGAAGTGCTAAATTGGCTTTAGGGAGCGGAATTGCCACCTAATAGACCAGGAAATTCTAGCAATTTGCTAGTGTGAGCAAATACAAAGCCAAGATGCCTTGAATATATGTGTTTAAAAAATGGAATTGTATTAAATGTGGCCTACTATGTTAAATTACAATTGCTGAAATAGCCAATGCAGCACACATCTATTGAAATAGGAGCAAACTTTACCCATCCTGAAACTGCCAAAAATGAAAAGACGGGGGGAAATTATTAAATCCCTATCAGGCCATTGGTAACTGATTAATACGTTATGCCACCTTGGTAGATTTTAGAAACTCTTGATTGAGGTTATTCTAGCATATCTAAATCACAGCATCACCTTTTGTTGATTCCAACCTGGATGGGAAATTTCTAATCCAGCATGACATCCAATTCCAGAAAACTGAGTTAAGTAAATAAGCAAGCTATGCCTAGACAAACTGAGGTAGATATCCTGTCCATGCAGCCACTGAAGATTACACCAGCTTTCAGTATTGTTCTACTATAATGTTAACAGCATCAATGTTTAAAAGATCACATTTCCTTCAATCTTGTAACTTTGCTCTCTCATATACCGAAGAGCACAGATAACTAGAATAAGTGGTGTAGTACAAAATATCCAGTGCCTTTAAGCCCCTCCAGACAGTTGTGACTGACTTATTTATCTTTCAGTGGTATGGAGAATGTTAAATGTTAATTTCTACCACTCAGATTAATGTGGATTTTTTTAATCCAGTAGAGGAAATTACAAATTGTCAATGTAGTGCATTCCGAGTTGTCTGCAAGAATTGAAAATGCCCCTATGATTGTTTGTTCCTCATATTCCAATCAGTATTTTAAATTTAATAAAAAAATAAAACAAGTATCTTTATTTTAAGACATTTTCAGGTATGATATGTTTAAGGAGTCATGCTAAAATTCCGTGTGCAGGTAACACTTTCCTTGTAATAACTAGCAGAGGTGGGTTCTTACCAGTTCGGACCGGTTCGGCTGAGTGGTTAGTAACTCGGCCACCCATGCCTCCGAATCGGTTCTATTGGCGTTGCCTACAGTACTGCCATTTTGTTTTTTGCTTCTGCGCATGCACAGAAACATTTTTTTCACTGCTGCGCATGTGCGTGTGCAAAGCGCGCCCGTGCCCGAAGCACATCCCTGACAGAACCAGCAGTGAAAGAATCCGGAACCCACCCCTGGCAATTAGGTATATCAGCCAAAAGAAATTTAAGCAGATTAGCCACACTTCATTATTTTTTAAACATTTCAAAATCAAATCACAGTATTGAGATTTGTATTGTCTTGGTCTATTAAATAAATGCAAAGCGAACAGACAAAACATGCAAACAAGTTATTATTGTGGCACAGGAAAAATATGAAAAAGATACCACCCCAGTGTGATGTATGCATGTTAGGATCAAAGGGACTAAAAATAATGAAATGCCTGGGAAAAGGAATATTTTAGCCTTACGTCAAAAAAAGCAACAAACATACGTGCCAAGTGTGTGTCCTTAGGGAACACATTTCACAAAGTCCCAAAGCTACTCTCACTTCACAAAAACTACTGAAGTGTCCTTGAAAGTTTGTATGGAGAAGGCATTCCTTGAAATTTTAAGCCATTAAAAACAGCCCCAAGATTTTGAATTACAGAAATTTTTATTTTCTTGGAAGAGTTTTGCTGGTAATAATAAAAAAAAACGATGCAGAAACTGCTATGATCTAATTAATAGTACATTTAGATTTTATAAGTGATGGCAAGTATTGATTCAGATATACCTTACCTTATCACTGATAATAGAAATCAAACTTGGGGCTCTTGCATGGACACCTAGATCCCTCATGTTATAGAACTGATATTACATCAGACTCAACTGTATTGATAAAAACTGTGCCTGCTGGTAAGAAAGCAGCAGATATATAGTCCTCAATTCAGTGAGAGATTAAGCAGTGTGATGATGACCCTTCTAAAAGTTTAAAGAATATGGATCTGGTAGAACTATGAAAAGATCCTTCTTCCTATTGAGATCACCAGACTAATTTTCATTAAAGGAGGTTTGGGGGGGAGTAAAAACTTAAATAATAATCATACGGGAAAGTACATTTTACCAAATTCTAGAATGAATGTCATATTGAAAGCTAACAAAAAGAAAAGTGTATTCAAAAGGCAATAAATAGCAAGCTGCCAACAGCCGTTCCTTAGTTGGGCCAGATGCTACTAGCAAGTTTTTCTAGCATGCCCTTTCCTGAAAAACACATTTACTCCTCTTTGCCTTCTTCATGTGAAACTTTGTGCTCAAATGTATAGAGTTTTTCTCCTCTACTCTCCTTTTCGTTGCTCTGAAAATCTTTGGCATTTGCTAACAGTAAAATCTTGATTGCCTATAGATGACTGCTTATGGGGCTTTCCTTCACAAAGGCTCCTTCTGCAGGAACTACTTCAACATCCTGGACCTGCTGGTGGTTAGCGTTTCTCTCATCTCCTTCGGGATCCAGTGAGTAAGCTATCGTACATTTTCAACTATCGTATGGAAGATGGATAGATCAGGGAAAGGGAGACACAGTTGTGGCACAAGCTAAATGAAGGTTCTCCCTACAAATTCTTCTTCTTCTTCTTCTTCTTCTTCTTCTTCTTCTTCTTCTTCTCCTCCTCCTCCTCCTCCTCCTCTTCTTTCTTTCTTTCTTTCTTTCTTTCTTCTTCTTTGCTTTAAATGCTCCCTTTGCTCATGCTTTTACATGTTTGATTTTCATTCTCATTTCAAAATAGTTGGGTCTTTGTATATTTGTATGAAGAATAATTAAGAAGCCACAATATGCTGTTTTTAGTTCAGACCGATACTGGATTTTAAATCGATTTCTAAGCTATCATAAGAAAAAATTATATTCTGGCAATCGGCAATAAGTGTTATGGCACTTGACTTAGTCCAAGGACAAAACCATGAGCCAAGATGTACTAAGTTATATATATTATAATATTATAGAAGAAACAAAAGAGGAGATAATGGCAGCAGAAGCAAAATGAAAAAAGAAACAATTTTGTTTGATTGATTATTATGCATTTGACTCAGGTTGAAGCCTTGGTTGCAATAGGAATTAGGAGGAAGGATCTAAAGCATCATGGGGGTTGAAGAATAGATTTGAAGAAAATGGAAGCAACATTGTACTGGTGTTCAATATAACACATTCACACCAATCACACACAGCGGTGGTGCAAAAGCACTGAGTAGTTTGAAATAGGAGAATTTTGTATGGCTGAGATTGATATAAAGCTGAGAATTGTTTATGAGCAAGACAATATCAGGACATTGGTGTGGTAGGGTAAGAAATGTAAGAGCAAATTATGGAAAACTTTGAAGGCTAGAATAAATCAGCGTGGGAATTTAAAGAGGACGTTACTTGATCATAATGTTGAGATAAGTGACTTATTTGATTAGCAGAGTCCCAGGCCAATATTAGGAAACTGAAAAAGAAAAAAGATGATGTCATATGTTTTGCCAAGGAGGCAGAAAGGTATGAAAGTATGGGCAAGGAAGATAAAAAGAATATAAGCAAATTTGGAAACATGGATTCCTAATTAACAGCAAATAGTATGGCTTATAGTGAAATCAAAAACTTCAGTAATGATGCATAATTAATCTGATTTTTTTGAAGTTCACACAGTCTGAAAACTCTCAGGCTGCTGTGATAAATAGCAGAAAGAAAGAAGAGTTCAGCCTGTTTCAAAGAATACACAGCTCCCAAAGCCAACTTCTTCAGCACATTAATCTAGCTCTTCCAGTGGCTTTGAGCCTCTTTGCGACTGGCCAGGAAGGTCTGCCTATCCTGGGATTTGTGTTTAACAGAGCCAAGTTGTATGTTGACAATTTTTTTCAGAAAACAAGTAACTATAGAACTGATCTTTTCTGAATTAGTAATTTGGTGAAATGCTTCTGAGACCCCCTATCTTAAAGTGCCTCAGGATGGCTACTGCATGGCACCCGTTTTCTAATTACTGTATTTTTCAGTGTATAAGACGCACTGGAGTATAAGATGCACCAAGATTTTGAAGAGGTAAATTTTTAAAAAAAGATTTTGCACTCTGCAGACCTCCCAAACCCTCTGCATGGCATGCAGAGAGTTTGAGAGGCCTGCAAAGTGCTCCTAGGGGCTGGGGGGGGGGCAAAAATGAGCAAAAAATGGCCTGTTTTTCATGAAAACAGGCCCGTTTTTTGCCCCAAAAAAGGGCATGCATAGCCTTTAGGAGGCTTGTAGAGTGCTGCTGGGGCAGGGGGAAAAAACAAACAAAAACCAGCCCATTTTTGCCCTCCCCATCCCCCAGGAACACTTTGCAGGCCTCCCAAAGCCTCTGCATATCCATTTTTGTGAAGGGGTGGGGTTTCAGGAGGCCAAAATGCTGTATTCAGTGTATAAGACTCAGCCACTTTTTCACCCTCTTTGGGGGGTAAGTGCGTCTTATACTCTGAAAAATACAGTATGTCTGCTGTGCATTTGGCAGATTTACTTGTCATTCTTTCCTCTTGGTCAATGTGATATTTTTATACAGTTTAATACACCTGTCCCTAACATCTCCTTCCCTTTAGAGTCTTAGTGTGCAGCATCTAAGCTATAATAGTAATAATAATAATGGAATGTAGTAGAAAGACTGTATGAACAGAATCTGTGTATATATTTAGAATAATATACATACTTTTAAAAACAAAAACCTCAAAACCTAACATGGGCATGCAATGGTAAAAAGAATAAAATATCTGCTGCCAGGCCAATGCACATTTCATGAATAAGATATTACAATAAAGTTATATATAAATGATTAAGTTGAAGACATTCTAAATAAGTGCAACATTTTTCTATGAAAAGATTAAATATACTTTTAACTAATGTAAGGATGCCAGCTTTATATTACAGTTTTAAGCAACTCAGTAGCAACATTCCAGGGAAAGATCTATGAATCTTTTACAAACCTTCTTTCATACGTCTTGTACATTTTATTTAAAAGCATATCAACTAGTAAACATACTGTAATATTGGCTTTCTGTGCACAGTCATATCTATTTGACTACATAATTTTTCAGCTCATAGATAATGCCTAGAATGACAGTAAATCCTGATGTTCAATGTTCTTCTCTAGGTCCAGCGCAATCAATGTAGTGAAGATATTACGTGTTTTGAGAGTCCTCAGACCACTGCGGGCAATCAACAGAGCGAAGGGTTTAAAGGTAGAAAACTGTTATCAGTCCATGAAAGATGAAATGCTCTCTTGCGTTATGCTCCTTCTCTGAATGAATCAGCTTGGGGTCTTTTCTAGTGGTAGGCAAGGAGTATAAAGGCAGTGATTCAGTCCATCTGCTTTGTTCGGATTCCTTGTTAACTGTCTTCAAGGTAATAGTACCTACAAGTGTACAACTCTAGTTATCTTCCTATATGTAAATGATTGTCATTCACATTTGTGACAAAAATTACGAATCTGCCCTTTTTTTTCTGGGATAATATTGGATTGGAGCCAATATTGGAGCTTTGTGAATTGGTATTAAATTATTTGACTTGCAAATGCTCTAGGGCAGGAAATTTCTCTGTGTTACAATGATCCATATTTATATTTATTTATTAAATTTCTACACCACCCATCTCACCTAAATGACTCTGGGAGGTTTACAAACAATGTGAATGGCAATTCTGAGTGAAGTACAGCATAGGCCTGGCTGTGCTACAGGATGGTACAGATTTTCTCTAATACTGACTGTCCCATTCAAAAATTGTTATGGGTGGCCTGGAGAGGAGAGGTGAGATAATCAGTAAATAACCTTTAGTTAACTACAATAATAACAATGAAATGTTAATGGACAATATTTAATGATACGTACAGGTGTGTTTCTGGGGGGGGGGGAATGCTTAGATATCTTACTTAACTGAATTAATTTTAGAACATGTCATAAAGGTGCAATGGCATTGGAGATTTATTGAAACTGCAAATGAACGCCAGCAGGTGGTTGTGTCTTCTAATATAAATGATTCTAGATAAAAACATGTTTAACCAAATGAGAATTATGGTACAGGGATAGTAAAATACATAACTTTTCTTTCTTGATTTAAAATGTACGAACATGATTTGAATGAAGTATATGTAAGGACTATGGAAGAAATGCATGGAATATATTTGTAACCAATCGATACACTTTCAACGATAAAACAATAAAAAAAATTCTCAAAAAAATGTTAAGGGCATCTTAAGGGTGGCCATTTGTCATCCAAACAAAGGCAACATATTCATTTAAGTTATAGGTCCTCTTCCCCCAAAAAATCACTACCTTAGGAGATACTGTGGTTTAGCCTTTTCACTGTGGATAGAAATGGTAAAAAGCTGATAAAAGTTTTTAGAAAGTGGACAGTCTATCTATTGTGAAACATTTATGACATAATGATGCTCTTATTCCTTTCTGCTTCCAGTCTAAATCAGTGATGGCAAACCTTTTTCTTACGGTGTGCCAAAATTGTGCGCGCTCGCACTGGAGATGACAGCTGGCGTGCCATCAAATATGGCTCCGTGTGTCACCTGTAGCATGCATGCCATAGGTTCGCCATCACAGGTTTAAATTGTGGATTTTTGCCTTCTAAGTGATACTGCACAGATATATGAGATGGCTAAGTGACAAGAATATTAGTATTTAAAAAAACTCAAAAGTGAAAAACTCAACTTGTTTTTATTTCTGATTTTTATTTGCAGCACGTGGTTCAATGCGTATTTGTAGCAATACGAACCATAGGGAATATCGTGATCGTGACCACCTTGTTGCAGTTCATGTTTGCCTGCATTGGGGTTCAGTTGTTCAAGGTAAATGTCACGGGACCTGTCCCTCGCTTTTTCATTGAAGGTCAAAAAATAATAATAATGACAATCCAGTAGAACTGTTTGGAAGAGTTTGGGAGAAAAGGAAAAGACAAACTGCCTGGGGCTCTACATTTTCCAAAACGATCATCACAAAATATTAAAGTAACCGACTTGTTTAATCTGAGAGAGCTACTGGGCACTTTAGTTCATAATATACACTCAGGGAGTAACTAATGGTGTTCAACTTTTGAACTAATATGTTCAATGTCACTGTAATTCTCTGCAAAAGTAGCCCCAAATACTACTTGAATGTGATTTGGGGCCTTGTGCCACATTTGGTGATAATTTGAGGGAAGATTTTATGTTTGCAGCTGGATGGATGTGAGAAACGTCTCTGAATTTTGTTGAGTAGTGAAGACGAGCAGAATCAGCCCAGCTGTTCTCTCAGTGCATTCAGTGCACACATGAATGAACATTTCCTGAAGCTAGGGATAATTCCAGAAGCTGGAAACTCCACCATACGGATCTCATCAACCTATATAGTTAATCAGGTGTACACACAGGGCAGATATTAATATTGTGGCTGTTATTCAAAGTAATTGAGATCTGGGTTTGGAAAAAAGTAGAAGCTAGAAATGAGCTGCCTTCAATGTATTTTCTATCTGAAAACTTCTTTTGCAGTATCAGCAATAATGGTACCTGCAAAGTAGGAAAACTCAGAACATTTGAATTTGCTTCATAAAATCTTAGATTAAGAGTTCTTCATTTCATTATATGAATAATAATTCATATAATAATAGCATGTAGTGTTATAGTGTATTCCAGTTTTCAGAGTACACAAAAAACACTTTCCCTAAAATAGAGAATTGCTATGATTTTTCTGTTTCTTCAAAGTCTCCTTTGTTTTAATATTCTACCGTAATACAAATATATCATTTTATACTAAGTCAGTGATATTGTCATTTAGGGTGCAAATATATCACTATATGATTCTTATCCTTAGCCTTTTATCCTTTTTATCCTTACTATAATCATAATTACAGGTTAGTCCTTGACTTGTAACCAATCATTTAGTGATCATTCGAAGTCACAGTGGCACTGTAAAAAGTGACTTATGACCAGTTTTCACACTTAACAACTGTTGCAGCATCTACCTGGTTACATGATCAAAATTCAGGCATTTGACAACTGGCATATATTTACGATAGCTGAACTGCCTGGGGTCATGTGATCACTGTTTATAACATTCCCAGACTCCGACAAGCAAAACTAATGGGGGGAAAGCCAGCTTCCTTTAACAACCGTATGATTCACTTAACAACTTCAGTGATTTGCTTAAGAACTGTGGCAAAAAAGGTCATAAAATGGGGGCACAACTCACTTAACAAGCGTCATCCTTACCAGTAGAAATCTGAGGGTGAATTGTGGTTGTAACTCAAGGCCTACCTGTACATACAGGATAAATTGTTTCCATTTGGACTAAGGAAAGTTACACAAAGTATGAAAAGTTAGAATTTATAAGCCAAAGAAATTAAGCATATACCATATGAAAAAGCAAAAAAAAATTAACTAAATTTAATTTACATCAAAATTATTGATGCATCTGCATTTTTTCCACACCCTTTTATCATGCAAATGTTGTGTTTTGTTATGTAAGCTTTTAATCTTGTTCTTTTTGAGAATCACATCAGCTTCTTCAACCACAACTTTCTTAGACTTTCCCTTCCCTCTCAACCTATTCCCTCATACCCATTCAGATAAAAGGAAAATCTTCAGTATATTTATGTAATGCACATGCCAAATCTAGTTGACATATTGGTAGATTTGCATATTTGAAATAGTTTGGAAAATGGCTGGAAACATGTTTTGTTGGTGATTAATTTTTCCATATACTTAAACATGAAAAATATTGTTTTAATAGAAGGAATTCTGAGTTACGAAGTAACTGTATGATAAAATACTTATTCCTATCCCAGTTTGACTCTTAACTCTGTTGTACATGTGTTGCCTTGAATGAAATTTTATAGCTTAAGTTCGAAAGTGCAATTGTTGGCAACATAGACTACGATCCATACAGAATGCAGTAAGGCTGGCAATATAATTCAAGCTGATAAAACTTTAAACAGCAATAGATGAAGAGAGGAGAAAAAGCACATTTTTTTCTTCATGAGGCAGTAATGAAAGCATAACTCTGTGTTCTGCTCTATAATTAAATTATTCTTCTCTTTCATTCTCCTCCAGGGCAAACTGTACAGCTGCACTGATAGCTCCAAGCAAACAGAAGCAGAATGCAAGTGAGTTCATGATCGTTTGTCTGACCTCTTTTCCATGTCAACCGCTGTCAAGGAATTTTTGTGTGTGTCTATTTCCCCCAATCCCCCTTACTTTCCTTCTCCTCATAGGGGCAATTTTATCACTTACAAGGAAGGAGAAGTGTCTCAACCAATCATCCAGGCCCGAAGCTGGGAGAATAGCAAATTTGATTTTGACAATGTCCTAACAGCTATGATGGCCCTTTTCACTGTTTCAACCTTTGAAGGCTGGCCAGAGTGAGTATATAAGGCATTTTTTGTTTATATTTTATAGATGCAAAATGATTTGCCTTTTTCAGCTTTTAACTTGACTTGTTTAACTTGACTTGTCATTCAGTACTTCAGTGTGTTATCATGTGCTAACTCACTACTGTTTTAAAAGTTCTTTAGAAAATAATGTTTCATTTCATTTTACTGTCTCATTTCTCACATAGTCACAAGACTGGAAATCTGGAAACTTTCAAATGGCACATTTGGAAGGCTGTTTTCTGGTGCTTTCATGCTCAGAAAGGATCTTTAACAAAGGCCTGCCAGTTAGGTTGTCTGAAAGTATTTAGTTTCTATTTCCTTTTTTTGTTTGTTTCCAGACTGCTGTATCGATCTATCGATTCCCATATGGAAGATGTGGGGCCCATCTATAACCACAGGGTGGAGATCTCAATTTTCTTCATTATTTATATCATCATCATTGCTTTCTTCATGATGAACATCTTTGTTGGTTTCGTGATCGTCACATTTCAAGAGCAAGGAGAACAGGAATATAAGAACTGTGAGCTTGACAAGAACCAGGTAATTCCATTATGTGGCTCTTAAAATCCTGCAAGATACAATTCAAACATCCGACTAAATATTTATTAGAATGTAAGGTGAAGGTGATACTATCCTACTACAAATCTTACGGAATAGTGCTAGGCCTGCTGACTGCTGAAAAACATTACCCACCCATGCAGTATTAGAATATTTCATTATCTTCATAGAAAAAATAAAAGAAAGATATAGGGCCACGCATGATAAAGCAAGCATCACAATGCAAGCTTCTCCCCTATTATATGTGCATTGTGACAGTGCTTGTATAATAATGAAAATTTCATCACTGAAATAAAACTGTCAGACTCCACAGTCTCTTGGAAGTCTTTTGTTTCCGTTGCAATGGAATACTTTGGAGTATTCATGTTGCATTTTAATACATATTAACAGGCCAGTACTACTGAGATCAGTGGTTTATTCCAAAGTGAATAATTACAGTATTGCAATATTAAAGGTTATTAGATTTAATAAGATTTTAAGACTGCAACTTATAGAATTTCCAGTCATTGAAGATCATACTGGATGGAATTCTCAAAATTCCTTGAACTTCCATGAGGTCCAATTGCTCTACCAGTTGTTTCTCACAAAATGATCTATGCTACACAAACTTTTGGGCCCAAAACAATGTGTCGGCCATTAAGGCACCACAAGACTTACCATTAATAAATTAGTTCTCCTAAAGCAAGAATTGTTATAATTATTTCTGACCAAGCTAAATTCTATAATTGTAGAATTTATTTTTCTAACCCACTGCTTCCTTTTAATAGCGTCAATGTGTAGAATACGCCCTGAAGGCCCGGCCCCTGCGAAGATATATCCCCAAAAACCAGTACCAATATAAAGTCTGGTACGTGGTGAACTCCACCTATTTTGAATACCTGATGTTCGTCCTCATCTTGCTGAACACCATCTGCCTGGCCATGCAGGTAGGTGGGAAGTTAGAAAATATTAGGGCTGTGCAAAGCTTCAGAAATAATTTGGCAAAGATACTTCAAAGAAATCTTTAAAACAGATGTATCTTCACCTGGCTAACTACTGCAGCTACCCTGTTATCTTAGGAAATGGTATTGCTTGCTTTAAAGTTTAAACAGTTGAAGACAAGTGCAATGTCTTTATACCATGCGTTCTGAAATACTTTTTTGGAATAGAATTCAACACGGCATACAGCCCGAAAAAGTCTTACGATATCATCGCTAATATTGAATTCACTGCAATATTCATGATATAGAAATTGCACAGTTTCTGTCGTTTTTTTAATTGTCAAGGGAAAATAAGTACATTATTAAAACCAAGAAAAACTGTGAGGGAACTAAAACTATCTGGAAATATTAATTTGTCCCATTCTACAAATTGTATCAACTACATACTTTTTTTTAAAAGCAAGTGTATTTCCTAAGTACAAAATACAGAAATAATAAAAATGTTAAATTATTATTTTTAATTTAAATTGTGTATACATGCACACACACACAAACACACACACACTGGGTTTTTTTTTAATGCAGCATATCCAGTGGCCATTTTTTGCCACTTTTCAGCTGGAAAATAGCAAAAAAATTATAAATTGCAGTAACATGACCACAGATTGTTGCAACCCATGGTAAATGTGAGCTGGTTGCCAAAAGCCTGAAAATCAGTGATGGGGGAAGCAGCAGTTTGAGGACATGTCACAAATATACACAGGTACTCCTCTATATATCACTGTAATGGAGCCTGTTCATTACAGTCATGTCGTGATAGTCAAAAAATGGTTTGGTCACATAACCAACTTATTTTTATGTTTTTGTTGCGGTCATTAAACAACCCCAGTGGTCGTAAAGTGAATGCTATAGCTGTTAAGCGAACTAATAGTTTGCTCTGTGCTCACTTTGCTAAAAAACAGAAGAAAAAACATCATATAATGCAGTCATGTGACCACAGCACACTGCAAATGGCCATAAAAGTGGCCATGTTGCCGAGTGCCTAAAGTTTGGACACATGACTGTGAAAGAGGTCTAACTGTTGCTACTACAGACCTGGGTTAAAAGTCCCATTTTTGGGTCCACCATAATTTTGAACAGTCGCTAAGTGGCCAATCATAAGTCAAGCACCGCCTCCTCTGAGGACATGGCCTTTCTTTTTTGATTAATTAGATATAGGATGGAATCACATTATCATATTTTAACTGGATAACCCATGATATTGTGTTAGAAAACTGTGTTTTCCATAACGCAGCTGGTTTTGAAATGAAATATGTTTTTAATGATTAATTCATCTATCTATATAAAAATGGATGTTAGTATATGTTCCAGCATAACTCTGGAATGCCTCAAGCAATTTCAACCAAACAGATGACTTACTCTCTGGAAAAAAAAACACTGTGGGGGTAAGACAGCCCTAACACCCCTCAGGGTGTGTGTTCTGTTAAGATACAGCCTGTTGCACCTTAAAGTGGCTTCTACTGTACTGCCATTTAATTGCTTCTACTGTACAGCGGAGTGGAGTTGCCATTGTAACGGCTTCACAGTACTCCACAAGGGGGCTCCCTCTGGCAAGGGGGAAAATCCAACATTTAAAATTACGTTTGTTTTGGACATTTCCCCCCTATAAATAAATACACGGGCAACCCCCAGGTTATCAGCTAGTTAAATTATAAAGAAATCAGAAGGACATAGAAGTGGAGTAGCAGAGGGGAGAGAGAACTGGTAAAAGGAGAAAACAATCCACTTTTCACAATGCAAATTGGAATAATTAGTTGTTGGGGATTTGCTTTCAGCACTATGGTCAAAGTATCCTCTTCAAACAAGCAATGAACATCCTCAACATGCTGTTCACTGGCCTTTTCACCGTTGAGATGGTTCTGAAGTTAATTGCCTTCAAACCCAAGGTATGTTGTCAATCAAAGTTTCTCTCTGTGCATCTAGGGGGGTCAAAAAGCAGACGGGAGGAGATAAAAAAGGTAATAAAGTCAAGCTTTATCTCCCATACTCCTCCACAATCTAAAGGAGATGCTCTTGAGCAGTTGTTGTCTAAGCTGGAATCTCAATCTGTGCTTGGAATAGCCTTCCATTTTTAAACTGAGTATACAGACAGAATCATGCCTTTTAAAAATAGAGCATTTCTCTGATTCTTCAGAATATATAAGCTGTAAAATGTCGTGTACCCCAATGGACACCCATGGGAACATGAGAATTGCCTCAGCACCAACTTGTAACTACTAATTTGTGGGCATAACTAGGATACTTGCTCCTGGTGCTGAAAAATGCTCCCTGAACACGCACTATTCAACTCCTGTTGAAAAGCATTTTTTTAAAAAAAAGTGGGCTGTGATTTAAGCCGAGCACTTTACCAAAGAGACAAGAGTGAGAAAGTTGCATCAGGAATGCAACTTGTATGATTAAAAAAAAAGTTGAAATAAAAAGATAAAGAGTAGCAGCTGTGTTGGGATGCTGGAAAAGGAAAAAGTGGCAGTTTTCATCAAATATTAGGCATATTGATGAAGTTGGAAAGGGAAAGGGGGAAAAAAGGTTTTCTATTTATTCAGCAATGCTGGGGGTCCAGGCCACACCAGAGAAGTATGGGGGCTGAAGGAATTAAACCAACCCTGCTTGCCCTTAAATAGTGTCCAGTGGAGATGAGATGCCTGAAGAAAAAACAAGAATATTCTCCACTAAGCCATTAGCAATGAGGCATTGAGAAGGTGGTCTCGAAATACGACTCAGTGGGTACAGCACCTAACCTCCAGGGCCACTGTGGCTTTGTACAATGCTAGGGAATTGACAAGGAATTATGGGCATTGAACTGGCAAAGCTGGGAGCATTTCATCAGAGATGAAATGCCCCTGCCCCATTTCTAAGCTTGCCCCCCCAAGGGCCCCCAATTGGGGGTCGCAACTGAGTCAGTAAGGACAGTGGTCTTGCTTTGTCTACTCCCTGTATCCTCCTCCTCCTCCTCCAGAACCTAAGGGAACAAAGCAGTATACAATAGCTGATGTTTCTTCCAACAATTTCACTACAAACTCCTAGAAGTACATGTTTATCTGGAACCAGTACCTAGCCTTAAAGCTGTATTGCTGAAATAAGTAAAATATTGTGGTAATCATTTTGTGAATTGCATCCACAATAATTCCCCATGGTCCACATGCATCCATGAGCCCAAACGATTCATTGTTTTAAATTCATAATGAGACAGGCTTTGAGGCAGAAGGCTACTATAAAATGAGTACAAACCCACACAGTTTAAATGATCTTCTAACAATAGTAGCACAAGTAGCCCTCATTTAGTGACCACAACTGGGACTGGCAACTGGATCATTAAGTGAAGTGATCACTAAGTGAAATTATGACTGTACTTATGATGTTCCTCCAGCTTTCCTTTCCTTTATAGCCCTGCAATGGTTCTAAATGTGGAGACTGGTCACAAAATTCCCTTTTCATCACTGCCATAACTACAAATAGTCACTAAATGAGGCAGTTGCTAAACAAGGACTCCATGCAATATGAAATATTGCAACATATAAAAAGTGATTTTTCTATAGGTTATTTGTATATTTTTCTAACAGCAGGAATGCTTTTTAACACATAAATGTTAAACTACATATATATATTTTCCTAATACGTGTTAGTTACAGATAGTTCAGAGACACCTTCCCTACCAAAAAAAAGATCTTGACAATCTCAGCTTTCAGCAGTTTTAGAAAAGACAAATTCATTTTAAATATACAAACTATTGAAAATAAAACTCCCAGTGTAACGTCCATGTACCAGGGTATAGTATATCCATATCTAGAATACTATATGCAGCTCTGTTCATCTTTTTAAAAAAAACATACAATTGGGGAAATTGCAGAAGAAGACAAGCAGAATTATCAGGAAGTTTCAAAACCTAACCTGCAAGCAAAATCCAGAATATTTGGAGCACTCTAAAATGGAAAAATGGTAACTGAAGAGAGACATGATAAAAACATACAAAATTGTGGATGGCATGGAGAATAGGGAAGAAAGAATTTATCTTCCTCAGTCCATGAAACTAGCTGGAGAGATTTAGATGAAGGAAAGCATATCTTCACATAGCATGTAAGTAACCTATGGAATGATTGTGAGAAGACACTATGACCGCTACAAACTTGGATGGCTTTAAAAGTAGAGTGGATAAATGGCTGGAGAACAAGTTTCGCAAGGGCAAGGGCAATTTGCTCAGAGCTGGAGCCAGCACATCTCCAAGGTGGCGCAGTGATTAGAGTGCAGTACTGCAGGCTACTTCAGCCGACTGCTAGTTCGGCAGTTCGGCTGTTCAAATCTCACCGGCTCAGGGTTGACTCAGCCTTCCATCCTTCCGAGGTGGGTAAAATGAGGACCCGGA